AACACCTTTGCAAATCTATCAAACCATGCCCTTAGTGAGTGTTTGAGTCCATATAAAGATTTCTTGAGTTTGCATACCCGATTTTTCTCATTCATTTTACAAAATCCCGGTGGTAATATCATGAAAACTTCTTCTTGCAGTTCTTCGTTTAAAAATGCATTTTTAATGTCTAGTTGTTGAAGTGGTCAATCCAAATTTGCAGCTAATGATAGAAGAACTCGAATTGTATTCAATTTTGCTACTGGTGCAAATGTTTCCGTGTAGTCGATGCCATATGTTTGTGTGTATCATTTTGCAACCAATCGAGCTTTATATCGTTCAATAGTCCCATCAGCTTTGTATTTCACATTAAAAACTCATTTGCACCCAATTGGTCTCTTCCCTTTTGGTAGGTCCAATACTTCACAAGTTTCATTTTTCTCCGACGCTTTCATTTCCTCCAATACTGCCTCTCTCCATTTAGGAATCTCCAAAGCTTCTTTGATATTTTTTGGGATTTCTGTACTTGTCTAGATGAGATGTGAAAGCACAAAATTCAGTAGATAAGGTATTATAAGACATGGATTTTGAAATAGGGTGGAGAGTACATGACCGAGTTTGCTTTCTAAGAGCAATGGGTAAATCTGAAGTTTCTGATGCTTCATGAGGATCTGGAAAGCTATCATCGGGTCCGACTCTTTTGGTGTTTAGGATGTGAGAGTCTCCTTGTACTTTGATTTTGGCTTTCATGAATAGACTAGTATCTCTTTATCATTTTATTTTTCTACATTTCCCCCTGAGTTTAAGTCCCCTTCTATAAATGGCATATTCAATGGTGAAATAGGTTTTATAGGTGGTGTAGGTTCAGGAGGAGAAAGATCGAAATCTAAGAACCGATCTTTATGTAAGTTCTTCCCCTGAAGAGAGGTTTTTTCAAAATATGGTTTAGTTTCGAAGAAGGTAACATCCAGGCTGACAAAGAGTCTTTTTGTAGAGGGATCATAACATTTGTAACCCTTTTGAGTAGGGGAATACCCAATCAATACACATTTAATAGCTTGAGGATCAAGTTTACTTCTGTGATGGGAGTGGATATGGACAAAAGCGGTACATCCAAGTACTCTTAGTGATAGATTAGAGTTGAGACGAGAGGTTGGAAAGAACTTTTGAAATTTTTGGAGGGGTGATTCGAAGTTAAGAGTACGACTCGACATTCTGTTGATTAGGTAGGTAGATGTTAGGATAGCATTTCCCCAAAACATTTTGGGCATATTAGTGGTAAACATCAAAGCACGAGCAACCTCTAAAAGGTGTCTATTTTTTCGTTCGACGATCCCATTTTGTTAGGGAGTGTCGACGCATGAGCTTTGATGGATTATTCGACGTGTTTGAAAGAAATCTCCCAGGATGTTATTGAAGTATTCTGTACCGTTATCAGTTCGCAAAATTTGGATTTGTGAAATTGTGTTTGAACCATGGAATGGGAATTGAGAAATACAGAGCGAACATCTGATTTCTCCTTTAGGAGGTAGACCCAACAAATTCAAGTGTGATCATCAATGAACGTAACAAACCACTTTGCATGATTACGGTTAGGGATCCGCGAAGGGCCCCACAAGTCACTATGGATTATAGTTAAAGGTTTAGATGGTTTATATGTAGAATTTGGAAATGATGCACGTTGATGTTTTGCAAATTCACATATTTCACATTGAAAATCAATAGGCTTTTTAATCAGAAAAATAGAGGGAAATATACATTTCAAGTACTGAAAGTTTGGATGACCCATTCTAAAATACCATAACATAATATCACTATCTCTAAAGACAGATGTAGAATCACAAAAAGTAACTTGACGTTGTTTACTCACATCAGCTTCTTCAAAGTAATAGAGTCCTTCTCTTTCCTTAGTATTGCCAATCGTCTTCCCCGATAATAGGTCCTGAAAAACACAATGAGATGGTAGAAATTTAGCAGAGCAATTTGAATTTTTGGTCAATTGACTTATGGACAGTAGATTGTATGATGAATTTGGAACATGGAGGACAGATTTTAAAGTTATAGAATCAGAGATTTTTATACTTCCTTTTCCTGCGACTGAAGAGAGTGAGCCATCCGTAATTTTAACTTTAAAATTACTGGCACAAGTGGAATATGTGGAGAATAGATGGTAGGAGTCCGTCATGTGATCAGATGCTCCCGAGTCAATAATCCAAGGAGTTTTAGATTGAGTTATAGACTTCAATGCTCTTAAGAAGTTACCTCTGTGCGCTAGTGAGCTCGTCAGGTTGTTTGTAGAGGATTGACTCGATGATTGGAAGCTTGAAAACAATTTGTAGAGTTGCTCCATTTGTTCAGAATTAAACGCACTACTAGACTCAGATTTTTTCGTTTGATAATCAACTGATGTCTGGTATCCACGATTTTTATTATTTTGCCTCAGTTTCCAATCGCTCGGTTTTCCATGTATATCCCAACATGTGTCTTCTCTGTGCTTTGGTTTTCGACAATGCTCACACCAAAGCCGACCCTTTTGCTGTTTTGGACCTGATCCACTTGTTGCGCCTTTAGAATATAGGCCAATCATTCCTAGCCCAATGCTAGATTTATTTTGCCCATGATTAAAACCAGCTCCATTGTGCAAATTAGTAGGCCCAGTCATTCTAGGCCCGTTACTAAATTCATTTGGCCCATGATTGAAAGTTGCTCCTCTACCCGAATTAGCAAGCCCGTTATTAGAAGGCCCAATTCCTTTAGACATCAAGCCAGATACTTCAACATTTGGAGACCCGAACACACTGGTTTCACTCAACATTATCTTGCGCTGGGTTTCTTCTCGTCGTACCTCTGTGAAAACTTCTCGCGGCGAGGGAAGGGGTCGCTGGCTAAGAATTCGCCCCCGGACGTCATCTAGGTCGCGGTGGAGTCCTACCAAGAATTCATACACGCGTTCGTTTTCCAGTTTCTTCTTGTACCGAACACTATCTTCAGCACACGTCCATTCTTCTTTAGAACTTTGGTTGAGTTCTTGCCATAACCCATTCTTCTCAAGGTAGTAGTCAGTCACTTCTCGTTTCCCTTGCTTCGTTTGCCACAATTTTGATTTGATTTCGAAAATTTTGGAGGAGTTCTCGGAATCTAAGTACATCTCTTTTACGGCCTCCTAAACCTCTTTTGCGGTTGGAAGGAACAAGTATGTCTTGCCGATGGCGGGTTGCATAGAGTTGACCAGCCAGGCAGTCACCATCGAGTTCTTTGACTTCCATTTTTGGAGAAGAGCGGGGCTGGTTGCAGCTGGCATCTTAGTTTCGCCTGTCAGGTACCCCAATTTCCCTTTTCCATCCACAATAAGTTTAATCGATTGGGCCCCTCACGAAAATTCTTCCCGTTCAATTTTTCTACTGTAAATTGGAAGGATGAGTTTTCAATTCCTCCTGTAGACGTTGCTTCAGATTCACTGTTGTATGACTTAGAGGTCATTGAGCCTCTGTTATTCCCTATTGCTTCAGCCATACTCTGACTAGGCTAGAAGATACCACAGCTCTGATACCATGAAGAGAAATTGACTTATATTATTTCTCTCTTAAATTGTACAAGGAAAAGAGTCCATATATATATATTACAAAGAAAGCTGAAAAAAGGAATAAAAATCTAATCCCCTATATTTAGTAAGAAATCAAAAAATATATAATATACAACACTAATTACGGTAAGAAGGATCTCCTCCAATTTTCTTCAATCAATCCATCTCCTCCCTGCAGTAATTTCGGGATTTTAACAACAGTCGAAAGTGTTGCCAAGTTCAATACTGATGTATTTAGCATGTTGGAGATGTTCTATTGGTAGAATTAGGCAGTAACCAACTACTGCAATGACATGTCAATTTGCATGTTGCTGCATTTATCAGCTACAATGTTATCATCTCAAACTTTGAGCTTTGAATGAGTTAAGCTTTGTGCTGAGCTATGTATTTAGCTTGCCTGTAATGTTAACCTCTGCTATATATTTTATGATAATGTATCTTTAATAAATGGGAGAGCTGCAGCTCATCTCATATACTTACTAAGTGACTAATTTTCAAGTCGAGCACAAGCTCATCTTGGCTATTCTGTCTGAGGTATAACACTTATTAACCCTTTTAGTTTGTCAATTAAATTCTAAGAGGTTGTGAAATTTCTTACTATTCCGAGCTTCTCCTAGAGTATCTTTCTTTTTGAAAAGCATCTTTTACATAATGCCCCTGTTTGGTAGGGATTAAAATCAACATTTTAATCTAAATCAAAGTCAACAATTAATTTTAATCATATATTTCATGGAACCAACAACATTTCAACTATGCATTTCATCAATTTTTATCAAAATATATTAAAAATATAATTTTAATCTCGTACCAAACTGGGACAATATAGAGCATCTTTAAATTTAAAGAATAAAAGTTTTTATGCACTCAGTACAAGACTCTTTATTTTAGATTCTTAGTTTTATTTATGCAAATAAACATTTATATAAATTTCTTTTTTCCTATAAAACCATATGAGGTGCCAAGGGCTAAAGTATTAAAACTTGTAACTTATTATATACAATTAATATTGTTGACCCCAAAATGTTGAAGCCAACAAATCCCTTGCCTCCTCCTTGTCAAACCATCCTATTGTTTTTTCTGGTAATCAGAGCACATTAAGAGCTACTTTATGGTGAAAATGACCGCCAAGTGAAGGCAAGAGTGTAGAGCATAAGAATTTCACTAGGGATTTCAATTTCGCTCTCTTTCTCTCTATGATTTTTTGGAGTATTTATAGATACCTCAAGCCTATGGGCTTTTTAATCTTTTTCATTCAAATAGACAAGTGTCATTGTGCTATTGGTAGAATTTTAGCTAGTTTGGCATTCTAGATGATTACTTTTGAGACACGTGTAGCTCTCTTATTTGTTAAGACACCGTTTTCAACAGATTTCTTATGTTACTTTTTTTGCAAGCTCTCTCACCGTTCGGACACGTGGCAGCTTCACATAGCTTCCACATGGCCCATAAGGATGTGCGGTGCTCGTGAGACTACTGATAGCTTCATCCAATTCTTGTTAATATAATACACGAAGTTTCAATTAATCCTAAGTTTCTAGGTGCACCCATGTTGACTTCGCTAGATCAATATCTTTTGTATACGAGGAAGGGGCTTATATCACGTGAGGAGCGGCAAGACGAAGTGAGTGTATATCTTCTCCATGGTGAAGCTATTGTGGAGAAGCAGTTTTAGGGTTCAGCTTATATCATTGTTTTGTTATTATGATCAGACATGTAGCATCCTCATTTTACATAAGTCCTACTGGCCCCTACTTGGCGTTCATGTGGTAATTTGTGACATGCGGAAATATATAGTAACAAATTTTAAATACAAAAGGAGAGTGGATTCGGCTCTCCATGGATAGCTAGAGCCACTCTAGTTTAAAAATGCTAAATTAAAGAGTGTGTGTGAACCTGGATCTACTCTTATTAAAAGAGTGTTTTACTTTTTAAAGAGTCTCTTGGAGATGATCTAAGTTTTGTTCTCAGCTGTGTTTTATTGACTCGCATATAATGTTAACCTCTGCTGATATCCTTTATAACAACGTATCTTGAATAAATGGGTGAGCTGCACCTTATCTCATTTATTTACTGTAAAAATTTTTGGATCCAATTCGAGACTCTTGGCTATTTTTGCCGAGGATAACACATTAACCCTTTTAGTTTGTCAAATAAATTCTAAGAACTCTTGACTTTATAGATTCTTACTACTCCGAGTCTCTCAAAAACTATGCAATACAGTTCACTAGTCCTCAAATTGAGTAGATTCCAATGGGTCAAACAATTTTCACTATTATGTTTTGGCTCTATTTAGAGGAAATAATTAACTTAAAACTTTTCTACAGATTTGGTGTCTGTTTTTCTTGTATTACTGCTGCCATTGATTTTCTGATTTTGGCAAAATAATATTTATTCATCAAGTCCTTTCTTTTTCAGGAACTCAAGAACCTCAGGCCTCAACTTTATTCTGCTGCAGAGTATTGTGAAAAGTCGTATCTTCACAGTGAGCAGAAGCAAATGTAAGACTTCAACTTACTGAAGTACTCGATGCTTCATTTTGTTTCTTAAATATATAGCTCCTGTTTGGTTTAAATAAAATTTAGATTTTTCGTAGATTTTGATAAAAGTTGGTGGAATGTGTGGTTGAAAAGTTGTGGATTCCATTAAATATGTGGTTAAAATTAATTATTAATTTTGAGTTCGATTTAATTCCAAGTTTTTAGCTAAGCTAAGCCAAACAGGGGCATAGTTTGTTTTGCTTGATTTTTTAAAAATAGTTTGTTAAAATTAATTCTTAACTTTGTGTTGCTTTATCATTGCTCTACTCTTTTATCAGTTTTAAGAAAGTTGACGAGTTCTTCTCATAGGGTGCCTTTTTGTACCTCTCTTATAACTTTACTACTCTTATAGTGTGACTCTGGAAGTTTAGTATCACCGGTAATTTGTGTATTAGGGTACTGGACAACCTGAAGGATTATGCGATACGAGCTCTAGTCAATGCCGTTGATCACCTAGGAACTGTTGCTTCCAAACTGACCGACCTCCTGGAGCAACATACTTTGGATATTTCAGCCATGGATCTGAAAATTACGTGCCTGAATCAGGTACATTCACTCTTAGTAAACATATTTTTTATGAGGATTGAACAATAATCGGGACCAAATTATGTTTTTCAATGTCAGCGACTTGTAACATGTCAAGTATATATGGATAAAGAAGGTCTTAGGCAGCAGCAGTTATTAGCTATCATCCCAAGGCATCACAAACGTTACATCTTGCCTAGTAAGTCTAATTATTGAAAAGTTACTTTGAAAATTCTTACCTCTTATTTTATCCGTATCGTTTTGGTTATTTTATTTACTATTTCTTTGGTTTTCTGCAATGTTAGATTCTACGAACAAGAAGGTTCACTTCAGTCCACATATACAGACAGATCCTAGGCAACATATCCTAGCAAAACCTCATCTTTACTCTTCAGGTAGCCGATGTCTGCATCGAATGGTTCTTGATTCTAACTGCAAAATAATACTTGGTTAAATTGATTATTTAATTCTGTCTGAGGTAGGTGCTTCTGCAGCGAAAACTCTTTCGTGGCATTTAGCATCAGAAACCAAGTCTACCTTGAAAGGGTCTCCTCGTAGGATTATGAGGTTAGTACTCGGTTTTTAGTTGTGTGTTTGGAGCACAGACAGGAGTGGACAATATAATAAACAAGATTCAAGCTTCTTTTTCTTCAATAATACTGTCCAATCCATCACAATCCATCCTTCCGAAGAGCCATTATTTCCCTGTTCCGATCACATATTATGCCTATTTCATAATCAAGATCAATGATATTCTTTTGTGCAGCAGTGAGGACCCAAAAACATCTGGAAGAACCTTTAGTTCATTCAATATCTTAGGTATGCAAAAGCTATATCTGCACTCATTGTTATGTTGGATGACTTGCTACTAATATAAAAGCAAGTATATTTGTGCTATTGTCAAGCAGAGGTGGAAGAGAGTGCCCGTACGAAATTCACACCAGCATCAAGTTTTGCTATACAAACACGTGTTGCTTGGAGGGTAATGTCAAAACTTTATTTCGTATCTGCCGAGTGAGAACAGATTATGAAATTCTTGGAATTTATGTTTAAACTTTTTTGCTGTTTTTGAGAATATATGGTTTTTGTAGGAGCAAAAGGTGATTCTTCAGTCGGTATTTATTTATTCAGACAGAATTTTACAATTTATATTATCTGGAGTCGAGATATTTTTGTGTCCATATGACAAAAATTTCTTTTCTTTTGGACTTACTCTGGTACACCCTGATCATATAACTTTTGGGTAAGATTAGAATCACTAGTCAGAACTTCTATTGCAGGATTCTCAGGAGAGCTCCAGTGTTTTGATGCCATTTAGATCGTTTGGTAATCCAACTCGAAGAGAGACTGTTCGGACTCCAGTTCGTAGCAAGAGTGTGCTTTCATCCTTCTTTGTCAAGCAGAAGAATCAAAAACTGAAGACAATTGCATGAAACCTTTTGCAAACGCAAAGTACTTTCACTTGCACTAAATTTTCTTCCATGTTGAAGCAAATTGCCCGTAATTATATCATGCTCTTCTTGATTTTGGGCTCCATCAATGAACAACCATTAGAAGGTCAGTATCAGATCATATGAAGCCATCTATCATTCTGATCAATGACAAGTTGGAAGTGTATATTAGTGGTTACGGAAGACTCGGAAATTGTCTTGTGCAGAATATTAATACTTAATTCTGTATGGTGCCTTGGCTTCGTTTGATGTAGTGGGATAATATTATCATTTCTTGATAAAAAATAATTGTCATAATCAAATAGAAAATGATCTAATTATTGTTTTATTTGGCTCTGGTTAGATGTGAGCATTACATAAGATAAAAGGGAAAATTGCATTGCTAGTTCTTACCATTGGAAGTGAGGCATGTCCAATTTTGTTTCTCAGTTTGGTTGGTGCTTAAATTTTTTTTTGAAATAAGACCTATTTTAACGAGGGCTATAAAATTAAGACCAATTTTGCAGCTTCTAGTTTGTGCCCTGAAAATTTGAATTATGCTATTGAACTGTTTGTAATTCTTAGTTCACGTCAATATTTTTTTATTTCTTGTTTTTTGCTAACTCAATTTGTTATTTATTTTTGTAACAGGAATGAATATTGTAAAATGCACCTATTTTAAAATATATATATTACTTGATAATATATTAACATAAAATTGTTCTTTTTTTTCTTTTTTTTATTACTAAATAATCTTATTGAATAAATTGTCTTATAACAATTTCAATTTTTTTTAATCGAAAATGTCTTATAGTTTTTGGCACTGTTCTAAAAGGCGCGCCTAGGCGTGACGCGCATTGAAAATGCCAAGCGAAGGAGGTAGGCACGTTCGTTGACCGCTAATTCATGCCTTGGCGCGCATAATTTTAAATCACGCTTCTTTTAAGTTTTAAACTAAAAATTAAAGCCCAATTTTCATTTTTCAGTGCCCTAATTGATGAGTGAAGACAACCTCCCGAGGCTCCCAAAAATTCCTCTCCGATTGCAACATTTCGGCACTCTCTTACAACGGTTGCCTACTCGATCGTCTTCAAAAAACAATTTTCAATTTCTATACGTCAGTAAGTCAAACGGAAAACGAGAAACTATTGCTTGTTGAAGAATTAGTAGATTTAATGGTTGAAGAATTTTAGGTTCCCAACTAAAAATTTAACTATTGCTTGAATATTGTCTCCATAGTAGGGGTTTATAAAAGTACAGAAAACCAAAAATGAAAGAGACAGTGAGGTTTTCTCTAGTGAGTTAATGGAGTTGTGGGTCTTGTGGCTAATGAAAGAGATACTGGTTAATTTACAGTGGAGTTCACAGTGGGGTTTTTCATTTTCTCTAGTGCACTATACACTATTAATTTTATCAATTCTTTTTTCATATCAAATGGGGTTGATAGATGGATAAAAGTATCATGGATTTATTAGTGTATTTGTGAATTTGTGATCATTATAGTATTGAATTGATTCACGAATTTGGCATCCTTGATCAATATAATGTTTAGTAATTATAATTAATAATTATTAAATAATTTTTTTGATTAAAAACTTAAAATAATATTAAAATAAGCAAAACGTTTTTTTACTCATTTGCCTCACCTAATCTCGCGTATCCCTTAGGTTGGGGTCAACGCGTCGCCAAGCATTACGTCTTTTAGAACACTGATTTTTGATTTTGAGAAACAAATTTTTAATTATTTTTTGCAATCTCAAAATAGGCTCTCAAAAAATAAAACTAGAAATGAATTCAAAATTCAACACTGAAAATCTAAATTGAAATGCAAACCAAAAGGTAACTTACCTTTTGAATAATAAAGCTAGAATTATTCCAGTATTTAGTGACACGTCTTTGTGCCGTAGACATTGGACTCACAATCCACTTTTACTACTTGTCCTGCTATCATACACTTGAGATCTTTCTGATCATATATTCCCAATATACACTTCATAGACATTGGAGTTGTGCACGAGGTAATTATGAAGAATGCTTCTGCAAAGGTGATGCAGTCGTTTGGTCATTATTTATATGAAATATATTTGTTTGAGTAGCAATATTGAAAATTTGGGGCGCTACCATTTGAGAACTCACTCGTGGGACATGATATCCCACAAATCTTCTTCAATATGTGTAAATATACATATAACTAGAACTCTGCTATGTGTATAGAGGAGAGATTCACATAATTCCTCCAGAACACACACGACAGGTGGGAGGTAGTTTTTTTTTTAACACTATTTATCCACATGGGACCCCTCACCATGTGAGTGTTCTGTACTGTTTCTGTGAAATCATTTCTGTACAAATGGAAAAATTGATATAATTAATAACTGAACTAGCGATGAAGGTATCAATACACAAAATTTGTTCTTTTTAGTTGTGCGCCAAGCCTTGGGATCCGGAAGATGTGCCGGGTAATGTTTTCCTAGAGCCCAGTTCGACTTCCTCTCAATCCAGTTTGACAAACATGTCGATAATAGCTTTGCCACCATGCATTATGTCCATTTTCCGCAATATTTTCAAAAGACATTGAACAATTTCCTCCCGCCCTGATCTCGGAATTGCAAAATTTGATGGGTGCAATTTTCAAATATATTTTTTATTTTCTAGATGCAGCAATAGTACATTATATGATAATTTTTATCATTCCGTAATTTGTAATCTCCTTTTACTCAAAAATAAAACAAGTTCATATATAAGTGAGGACCGAAAGAGTCGAAAGGGAAAGGAAACCAATCCGTTCTATTGTCTTGATAAAATAATATCCGCAATATTTATGTATATACATATTAATCTTTGGAGTTTCGATAAGACTAGAGTAGTCCAAACCCTTTTTTGTTGGTTATTATTTCAATATTTGATCGATTTATGATTTACTTTTAACAATAATATAATTTATTTTTTGAGAATTGAAAATATGTAAAATTAATTGTTCCAATAGTCACTAAACTTAGGTTCATGTCTTCGATTGATTACCAAAGTTTAAAATGTTGAGTTTTGGTCACTGAACTTAAATCCATGTCTTCGATTGCCAACTGAAGATTAAAATATCGAATTTTAGCTATTGAAATTCGAAAAATGTTGTGCATTTCTCGTTAGCATAAATATTGAACTTTGAAAAATTTCAAGTGTACAGTGACTAATATACAACATTTTTTAAAGTTTAGTTATCGAAACTCGACATTTTAAATTTCAGAGAGCAATCGAAGATATAGACCTAAATTCAGTGACCAAAACTCGACATTTTAAACTTTAGTGACCAATAAAAAATATAGACCTAAGTTCAATGACTGTTGGAACAATTAACTCGAATATGTACATAAGTATTAATATTTAGAGTTTCATTTTAAAATGTTAACCTTGTTAAGATTTAGAGAACTAAAGACCATATACTGTCAAACAGACTGAATTAAAAGCTTTTACTGATGGAGAGGTGGCAAATTTATTTAGTTATTAAATTACTGTTGATAATAAAGTGTCTCTTTCACCGGAAAAATACACCACATATGTGATTAACGGCTTATTTGTATTACCCTTGCTTAGAGGAGGCTGAGACACTGCTTTTGACCACAACACTATATCCATTCCGTTTATCAGTGTACCTGTCCCAAAGCATACGATGAACCTTTAGCAAATGGCAGAACTTCATTTGTCGGAACCTGTTTTTGGAACATAACCACTTTCGGCAGCAGCCTTAAAGAGTCAGGAAGTCCAATGTAAATCTTTTTAGCAGGAATTGACGATGTCCATGATTCCGTGAATTCTTGAACTTGATTGAAAAGTCACTGCTGATGTATTTATATGGCAGATTGTTGTAAAGCTGTACCCAAACATAGTCGAATATCCCGATTTTCAGTGCATTTCTGAGCCATTTGATCTGGGAATGGACATTGGGCGCTACTCTTAAGTACACTTTCTTGCCCTTTAGGCCAAACTCGTATAACTTTCCGGCAAGGTCTGAATAGTGATCTTGCGCGGCTTCAATTTCGAAATCTACACCTGAAGGATCATTGTTGGAGGATATAGTTAGTGTGCAAACAATGTGGAAAATCAACAACGTATTTAACTATAATTTTATATATTCTAAATGTCAATGAGATTGACAACGATTATGCTTAACAACCAAATATTATTCTACCACTATAATATGATTGATCGTAAAATATTGTAATTATATTTACCTTATTTGAGATGTATGTAATATTGTTATTTAATAAAAGAGACCCAAAACGGGCAAAGGGCATTCAGTTTAAAAGAATTCATATGGTATCAGAGCTAACCCCGTGATCTTTATATTAAATCCTTGGTATTGGAATAACCCTACCTCTCACAGTGTGGGTTCCCTCGTGGTGGTTGACGATTGGTACCGTCAACTCTTTAGTGCATCAATTGATGGTGAGTGTGGATTGCTCTGGTGATTGATTGGGCTTGAGTTTGGGTGTGGTCATAGCGTCTGCGAATCAGAGCGAAGCTCGTGCAAGTGTAGCGTTCGTGGTGGTGCAGTGAGTATGGACTGCATAGTAATTGATTGGGCTTAGGTATGATGTAGGGATCGTGAACTGCATTGGTGACTAACCGTGTTCTCCTCAATGTGGTTTTGGAAAGCGATCAATTTTGTATGGACAGTGAACCACAACCATGGAGTATTTGTAAGTTTATTTGGGCCTGAAGTGTTTTTATTAGGAAAAATTTATATTTAAGGTGTATTCTTTACACCATTTTAAAAGCCAGATAAGAAGTTTGAAAATTCAAAATTTAAATTTGTATTTAATTAATTAAAATTATTTATTAAATAAATATATTAAAGTCACAGTTAAACAATTAATGGTCACAGATTTATTTACCAGTAACATATCATCAAATTAATTGGTCACAGATTATTTCGAGATCACAAATCTAAAATTTTATAGGTCACAGATTATCAAATTTTAAGGTCACGGATGAAATCGTTGAGGTCACAGATTATTGTTTTAATCACAGATCATCAAATTTTAAGCTCACGAACCAAATTGTTGAGGTCACAGATTATTGTTTTAATCACAGATCGTCAACTTTTAAGGTTACAGACCAACCTTTATGGTCACCCCTTCCACCAGTCCCATCCAGCACCAATCTTGGTAACAAACCACCACCATCCAATTGTCGATTGCACTATACCACCGCAACACCACACCCGATCCCGATCCAATTCCACCACAGCACTTGGTCACAAACACTATCCATCACCACCATTGCACCCCTATCACGTCACAACAATCGATCAACACCACAACACACCACCTGAGCCACCACAGCACAGTACCACACCACTATTGCACGTACCCAACCACCGCACCACCGCATCCATCTCCACTGCACACCTCACTGCACCATAGCA